TGGATGGACGGGGGTATCTCTCTTTCGATTAATGTTTTTGTAGGTTGTTGGTTGACGCTCTGATATGACCTTATTGTGTTGCAAGTGCCGTAACACTCTTACTAAAACTAACATTATCCCTTTGCGAAGTGCATCCTAAATTATATCGATGGTAATGGTGCAAAACATTTACCATGATCATTATTGTGTCGGTGTCCATCCCGTAACTCACATCAACTCTTCGTTTACTCTGAACCTAACGTAACGTTGCTTTCTTCTATACATGTTATGTTATTCTTACAGTAGGCGAGTGGTTGGCGGGTTGTCTGGTATAGTTTGCTCCTTCTTTCCTATCAAACATCTCTCGTCACCACTTAAAACAAAAAATTACGTGCTTTTTTTTGCTGCTCTAAATAAGCGTTGTTTTGACCATGGTGGGTGGTTGGCGGGCGCTGTGATGTGATTTGCTCTTTTTGTCCTATCAAGCATCTATTGTCGTTATCTCTCCCTCTTTCGGGTTGGTACTCTAAAGTATCACCTGTGATCTTCGGCACTTTTTAAACCGTATTGTTTTGCAAGTGCCATAAAAAACACCCCTTCCTTTAACTACAAGTGCCATACTCTCTCTCTCTCTCTCTCTCTCTCTCTCTCTCTCTCTCTCTCTCTCTCTCTCTCTCCTTTTTTTCCTTTTTTTTTGAATAGCTCAAACGAAATATCTGGTCAATGCGAAGAGTGAAATACAAAACGCATAGGACTTAGACAACAACACTGTGCTGTTGATTAACACCTTCGCCCCGTACGACCGGCCGGCCGACCGACCGACCGACCGACCGACCGAGCGTTTTGCTTAACATTGTACATGTTTTCACTACAGTATAATAGGCGTGGGAGGAAATCCTAAAGCTGGAATAGCTGGCCACTACGCTCCCATCCCACACCCCCCTCTCATCCCCCACCCAGCCACGGTTTCTCTCAATTCGGGATTAATTCGCCAAGTGCCTTTCTTCTCTCCCACGATATATAAATCGGCTCAAGCGGCGCTGTGATGGCAGTAGACAGTTACTAGACAGTACTTGCTGCCTGGATTCTTGCACTTTAGTTCCTCTTCGTCTCGAGGAGGACCAGCTTTCGCTTTCTTTTTCCGCGCGGCCTCATTTTTATAACCCCCCCTCTTTCCACCGCCCCTCTCCTTTCCCCCCTGGGGGTCAGATTTAGGTCACAACTTACTGAATGACCCACCTTCTTTTAAACCGCCGGCTAAATCGTCGTGCGTGTTTCGGTGATATTGTGAACCATTTTGGTCATGCTATTTTCTCATACTGTATACAAAAAATAAACAAACAAAAAAAAAACGAAAAAACCCCCAAACAACAAACAGCCCCCCCCTCACAAACCAAACACCCATCACAGAGTGCGTACGCTCACGCACATTTTCACCAGAGAGAACCCCGCGTACTCGCGTCTTCACAAGCGTACCGTACATTACTACACGCAAAGGTCAGCTTTTGACAACTTCTCCGTTATCTGGCTATCGATCTTGTTGTGAATTTCCGTATTCCGTTTCCTGGAGTGGGCAAACCCAGTAGTGCGGCTTAAAAAAAAAAAGCGTCCGCAGTTGCTCCTTCTTTCTTATCAAACATGTCTATTATTGTTATCTCTCCTCTTTTATTATTGTTATCTCTCCTCTTTTTTTTTTCGCGCGCCCATATGACCTTATGCAGTTGCGAGCGCCGTAAAACTTGCTAAACTTAACTTTCTCATTTAAAAAAATGTGTGTTACTGTCTAATAACACTTCTTGTCTTCGGCACTTGTATAGCCTAATTGTGTTTCAAGTTCCGTAACTGAAAGGGTCCGAACTGAAATTACGGCCTATCTCTGTTGGACAGACTAGTCGAACGAACCACAGATTGGTACGTTTACCTGTCATTTCTTCACCAGGAGAGTGGTGGCACTGTCTATGTTGCTCTTCGGGCATTCTTCGGTTTTGACTGTTTTGAAATCCAAACGCTAAACATGGAGTATTTTCAATGTGATTTCACGGCGGGTGGTTGGAGGGTGACCCGGCTAGCCTCTACGTCTGTTGTCGTCAGTCTTGATTTCCTCGAAATGTCAATTTTCGTGTCGATTTACTTTTTTTTAAAAAAGCTCCAACTAGACTAAAAACCTACTCCATCACACACCCCACCCCCTCTTTCCCACCTCTCTAACACATACACGCATACACACACTCATACGTGCACGCATACGCACACGCGCACACACACACACACACACACACACACACACACACACACACACACACACACACACACACACACACACACACACACTTTTCCTACCAACATGTCAATCCCTAACAGCTGTAATTATTCCCCCCACCCCTCCCTGTCATGTGTTACTGTGAGCCTGAAGTTGACAACATTAAACTACCCTCGTTACCCATCTCCCCCCCCTCCCCCCTCCCCCAAAGCACTGACTGCTTAAAATGCAAATCGAGCTGAACATTTATCAGTGGTCTCTCTCTCTCTCTCTGCCATTGTCACAGGTGGCCAAGCTGGCAGTCCTATGCCCGTACGTCCCTCCTCAGGGCAAGTGGATGGATCCAACCGAATGACACAGTCCCCCATGGCCACTCAAGGTAGGACAGGAGAGAGAGAAATTGGAGGATCCCCGGGGGGAATGAATGAACGAACGAACGATTTACATGCCTGTTCGGCAGTCCCCGGGACTCATATACATAAGCTAGAGGCGCATGCTTTGTGTCTGTCTGTCATAAATGGCCCATCTTCCGCAGCTGTCGCTAGCGACTGGAAAAGCTTTGCAAACCAATCCTGTGGTAATCTATACATATGGCTTGTAATATACAGTGTGGAGCGATGGCTGTGCGAAATGGCTGTAGGGGAAGTAAATCTTGTATTTTGTCCCAAGCTGTGAGAGTTCCAGTGAGTAAAGGGGGATAAGTCAGTATATTTCCGTCATAATGTGGGGGTGTTGGTTATTATGTTGTGCTCATTCGTTTCCGAACAGGAAAGAAGATGTGGGTTCTTCAAATTATGAAAAACTAAATTTTCCGTGCGTGGATGTAAAAAAAAAATCAGTGTAGAAATGTGATTTATTTTTCAATATCAGATACCTGAGCAGATACTCTTTAAAAATATTTTTAGTTGTTGGATTTTCAGGAAGGTAATCATCTCCATGTCTAAAGTTTCAAACTTGTCCAAGAGCTAGTTCTTTAATATTTTGTCTGGGTGGCTGTTTTTAGAAAATCGTTAAAAGTTTTTAACGTATTGCCTTGAATACATTTTATACTGTTGTAACACATCATGTCTTACTGGTAAAAGTTGACATTTTTTACTATTAAAATATTTTAAAATAAAATTTATTTTTTTCAACTATATGTTTGATGTCAGCATCATCTAAGTTTCTGACTTTTGCAGGTGAAATGGTATTGCTTTGAACCTCTGGTTTCTATGACCTTGCTTTTTTAGAGTACCTTGCAACTTGTATTGTTTTCACAAAATTTCAGAACATTTAATTTTGTGTCTAAATTTATTTTAATGTCAGCATTTGTTTTTACTTATGGTTTCGCCATCACAACTGTTTTTGAAAATAACTCGTTTTGATTAAAAAATAATGAAAGAAATACATTCCATTTACTTGAAAGCTGTATCATCTCAAAACACTGGTTGATTTTATTGGGGAATAATACATACGCATTTGTTTTGTGATTTGGAATTATTTTCTTTTGTGTTAGTGTTATTAATTATGGGATCATTCAAAGACAGCAAAATATGAGTGAGTTTGTATCAATATCATTCAAAGACAGCAAAATATGAGTGAGTTTGTATCAATTTCGCTTTTGCCGTTTGGGAGAAATAGTCTTTCGAAGTTATCTTATGTTGCACACGAGGTTTTATGTGGCTGGTTGTCTTTGTGCAAGGTATGGGAAATCAAAAAGTGGTTAAGGATGGTTAGAGTTAGTATAAGGCGCCGTGCCTCCCCCCCCCCCATCATCATCATCATCATACATTTTATAGTGTGCTAGTCATGGCATTTAAAAAAAAAACTTTGTTCACAGAATAAATCAGTTCACTAGCTGCTCCGGCAGTTTTTTTTGTGGGGGGGTTGTTTTGGAATTGTGGGTTCAACAAGTTGTGTGTTTTGTTTCCTCAGGTTACAACCAGCAGATGATGCCCCCACCCAACAGCATGGGCTACATGCCCGGCTCAGGCAAGATGGGTGGGGTGGCTCAGATGCCAGGACATTACCCACAGTACAACTCGCAGTATCCCCAGGGTAATTTGTTGCTATTTGAAACTTTTATTTTATTATTGAAGGCCTCAGAGTCAAGACAGACCAGTCATGTTGGAACACCTCACCTTAATGTGTTTGTCTGCTTTTTCATATTTTTTTTTTGGTCGTATATATCACAGTCACAAGGTGGGTTAGTCAGAGAGTGTTGCTGATAGATCTTTCTTCTTTTTTCTGTCTCCCTATCGTACTTGTCCCGTAGACTTAATATCTGCTATGGTGTTGATGTACTTTTCTTTACTTACTAAATAATTTCGTAAGTGCACTCATGATATGGATGAGAATGCACTTATCAAGTGGCCTCTCAGGTATTGTCAGAAGTCTTTTTCTCTTTCTTCTTAATTGTAAAGGGTGACCGAAGTTGATGTAATGAACTCTTGCACAGGGAATGTTTCGCTCGGTAGCCAAGGTAGCTGTTAGGTGGAGGTTGTTATTATCTGGGTTGCTGTTAAATGAGCACTACTGTACTTAATAAGAAAGCGTTGAGTTGATGTAGACGGTGAAAATATGTGGAGTTTAAAAATATCCTATATGGCTCATCAGCTGATTTTATGCCCTAGTTTTTCTCATGCTTCTGCAGGGAGTTATCCCCGCCAGCAGCCAGGAATGGGAGGCATGGGTGGTCCCGGTGGTCCCATGTCAGGACCCATGCAGAACTACCCGGGATCCCAGCCCAACATGTACCCCAACGGACCCGGCCAGATGCCTGGAGGACCTATGTACGGCAACATGCCCGGCATGAACAGAAACATGGGCCAGTCGGGCTACGGCACGGGGCCCTTTGGTCAGGGCCCGGGCGGCAACATGGGCGGCATGGTGAACAGTCAGTACCCAGGCTACAACTCCCACATGGGGCCCATGCCCGGACAGCACGGCATGCCTCCGCAGCAGCAGCCTCAGGGCCCCATGCCCCCAGGCTCGTCACCCGGACCCCTGCCGCCCACCATGGGCAGCCAGCCCCCTGGCACTGGCATGATGCCGCAGCAACACGGTGGCCACGGCTCCAACAAGGCCGTCCAGGCGGCCCAGGCAGCCATGATGGCAGCGGCCAACAGCACCGGCCCTCGCATGTCGCACAGCCGGGGCTCCATGAGCCCGTCACGGGGCATGTTTCAGCAGTCGGGGCCCAACGGAGGGGCTGGTGGGGGGCCCCTGGCACAGATGAACAGCATGACAAATTCTCCCAATTTTGGCAGTCCGAGTTTGAACAGTATGTCGAATGCAGTGGAGCAGCTGGGCCGGGGCTCCATGCCCCCTTCCTCCTCCTCCTCCTCCTCTGCGATGGGAGGTGCAGGGATCCCGTCATCCACCCCTTCCCCAGTGCCTAAGTCCTCCCACAGTCCGGCAGCCATGCCCAACAGCAACAACCTGTCGTCCAGTATTGCTCACGGTGGCACTGACCACTGCCAGAACTCGCCTCTGTCCAGCACGGACACGCAGGAGTCCAGCTCGCGACCAAGCTCGGCAGCTCACCCCCCAGACCTGCCCCACGCCAGCGACACAACGGGCTCGGATAGTTCGAGCGGCATGCCCAGTGACTCCACCTCCGTGGACAGCGGTTTCCATTCCTCGGACCAGGGGGACAAAACGTCAGACTCTATGAGCACCCCCACCCAGTCGGTGCCCTCCCCGCTGCCCACCGGCGGCGGGCAACCCAACGGTGAGGCCTCCTCCTCCTCTCGGACATTAGAGAACATCAGCCCACCGGGTCAGCATACTAGTCACCATCCCCAGGCCCACCACGCTCCTCCCCATCCTCCGCATCCTCCTCATCCTCACCACCCCAACCACCAGCAGATGGGTGCAGACTCGAAACAGATGCCTTACAGCAACGATGGCAGTGGTGTTCCTTTACCGCCGTCCTGCATCTCATCTAACGCCATGTCATCCATGCCTTCATCCAGTGGCAGCGTCGTAACTACAGCAGTCACGGGTAAGACACATACCTCCGCCGCGAACGTTTTCTTATACCGAACAAAGCACACCGCTCACAGTCTCATCAAATTCCTTTTTTGATATGGTTTGGTACATTTGGGGGTTGCTAGGTTTTCATTGGCTGTGGGGCAAAAGTTGTTATTTTGACACATTTTGATGAAATCCTTCAAAACCATTTGTAGACCTAGATTGAGTACATTAAATACATACTAAGTAAGGTAAAAAAGGACAATCCTTTTTAATGTTTTAATCCAATCCTAAGGAAAGTCTCATTTTTGAGTTGTCTATTTTTTTGTTGTAAATGTATGCAGAATAGCCCGGCCAGACATTAATCGATACTGTCTTTTTTGAGTCCTGATCACATATTTCATTGTTTGTTATAATTTTTTATACATAGATATGTAGTTGGAGATATTGAGTTCTGGATGTGACTACAGCAATATGAAGGTAGACAATATTTGTTTCGGAGTTAGTACACATGTTAAGATGGTTGTAATTTTCGGGGTTTAAAAAAAAATTAAATATTTTGACAGCAGTTGAATTTCGGGGTTGGTTAGTGAGCGATAGGAGGTTTTGGTTTGCTGTTGTTTGCGTTGCCCAATATAGTCTCAGTTGCCGAGGATATCTTCATGTAAATATGCGAGAAGCATTTATTTATCTCTTTTTGATAAAACATCAAGGAGTTGACCACATTGTGTTTTTTTCCCCCTCCTCCAGTTCCAATGTCCACCCAGAGTGTTGCCTCCCCCGTGACCACGGTGTCGTCATCGCTCCCTCACCACCCGCACCCCCACGCGCCACACCCTCACCAGCAACACATGGGCCCCCACGGCGGGCCGCCCCACCCGATGATGGCCCCCCATGGCGTGGGCCCGGCCAGCCACCCAGGCATGATGCCCAACGGCATGCCTCCCTCCAACATGATGAGCCCCGGCCACATGGGCGGCCCTCCCGGACAGATGCCACCCAACATGCCCCCCAACATGATGCCCAACATGGGCGGACCCAACATGAGCATGAACCAGAATGGGCCCATGATGGGCCCCAATGGTCCCATGATGGGCCACAATGGCCCCATGATGCCTGGTCCGCCGGGCATGAACAATGGCAGTGGCAACATGCCCCAGATGGGTCATGGTGTGCCCCCTCATCACCCACACCCGCAACAACAGCAACAACAGCAGCAGCAGCAACCGCAACAGCAGCAGCAGCAGCAGCCACCGATGAATTGCATGCCCATGGTCAACAACAACAACAACGCGACTTCTGAAGAACAGCCGGAGAAGAAGAAGAAATCAAAGGTATGACCCATGTCCTTTTTTTGCACTGCCGAAATTGTTGATTATATCTCTGAGCTACCCCGTCTCCCGCCCTGCCCCCACCCGACCCGATGTCCCTTGTGGCAGCCTCTCACTTTGTACAGATGGATGGCTGTCTACTACTAACATGTTCACCCACTCTCCTTTGTTCAATTGTCTCATTTTCTGTCTATTTTTTAACCCTATGAAATGTCAGCATAGGGGCCATATATACTGTTTTAATGCTGAGTAAGTTTAGTAAATGTTTGCGCGAGCAAGCAAAATTTCTGATTCGTTCATTTCTTATTTCGTGGATGAAATGAAAAGTAATGCTCTATGCATTTCACAGGTTTTCTGGACATGTTGAAGAAAATTCAGCCAGATTTTAAAGCTGCTGCACTTGTAGAATGATATGCCCGGAACAGTTGTAGTGAATAAGTCCATGCGCATTGTGGACCTTTTGTTTTTGGCAGTGGCCCAGTTTTTAAAAAAAAGTGTTGAGACAATTGGATTCTCAAAGTATTAACCTTGTTCTTTCCTGCAGTATATCAAATTGATATTTCCTAAACTTTTTTATTTTCCCTTTGCTCTTTCAGTCGTTTTGAGTTTGGTCTATTACAGTTCTCTCCATTAGTATTTCGATCTGATGGTTTGAATCAAATGTAGTATGCCATGTTCTGTCCTCTTTCTACAGAGTTAGAAAAAGGCAATCAGTGATGATTTTGGTTGTTTTAAATTAATTTATCGTAATCATTTTTCATTTCAGCATGTCATGCGATACTGTCAGTTGTCATGAGTTTCTTTTTGTTCCCTTTTTTTTTCCTTCTGGAAACTGATATCATTCTTCATATTGTTGCATCATCATGACGATCTTAATCCTGATTGGCGTCTTAATTTTGACATTGTTAAAAAAAAAAGTTAAAAGCGTCTCAGGACTTAGTGAAACGAAAAAAGCTGTAATTTGAATTAGCCTCTGTAACATTTCTCACCATTTTCATCTTGAAGATTTTGTGATAAGCCCTAGGGTGTATTGAGTGCTCAAGAGCTAAGGGATCTGTTATGACCACTGTTGGATTGAACTGTACCTTTCTTCCCGCCTTGTTTATATTTCCAAATTATTTTTGCCATTTTTTTTCCATATAATGTGTTCACTCTCACACATGCACAAGCACACAAGTTTTTCTACCCATCGACACTGTCCACAGGCTTTTTGCTGGGTGCTTTCAAGTCATGGGGCTTCAGAACTGTTGTTTGTTTTAAATATATATTTTTTTTAAAAGAGACGAAAGATCAAAGAATTGTTGTGCACTGCAAAGCATTTTCGTTCCAAAGCCTTCTTTGTCTTTCAGTCTTTGTTAGTACCTAGTCATTTTCAGTGATTAAGTCTTTGGGGCATAACAACTCATGTCTCTGACAATTCGATGTTTCATCCTGAAGTTTATGTTCTTATGCTGCAACTACCGAGGGATGTCAGAGATATATTTTTACAAAAACCTATTTTTTAAGCAAATTAAGTGAAAGTTAAAGTGCCTTCATCCCTAGAAGTTCAAAATAGTTCTTGACAATCAATGGCAACTTTGAAGAATTTCATACTATGTGATCAGTATATCTTTTTGGACGTGGTTGTCTTGAAGTTGTCAAAATGAACACGTTTTGGCCTATGTCACTTCACTCATTGAGGTGGGTAGTTATTTGATTAATAACTAATTTCAATGATTGTACAGAGTCCCAACCAACTGTCTTGTCTTTTTCCTATGCTATATACGGCTCAGCTTTTTCAGTGCTTTCTGTGCGTTGCAGACCATGAATTAAGACCTTTTTTTTTTTGTTCTTTTTTTCTCTATCCATGATTTAAAGAAATAATTTTGTTTTGTCTTCCCAAAAAAAAAAATAGGTGGATTTTCAAAATTGAGTTTTCATGGAAAATGACCTGCAACAAGAATGTTAATTCTTATCTGGGTTTTTTATCTTTTTTTCTTCCTTGTCTTTTCCTCTGCGGTCGGTGCAGGAGTTGGATGGTCTGCCTCCCAGCCATGCCCACATCCGGGCCGGCTCGGCAGGGGCACACTACTCTGAGGAACCCAACAGCCCTGGGGCCCTCGTAAGTGGCCGCACGGACATTCCCCCCCCTCTCCCCTTTCCTCAAGTGGCTCAGCATATGCCCTCAGAAAAGCAAACAAAATCCAAAAGGACATGTTTTATAACATTTTCAAGACTTTTGGGACCGACTTTGTTTTTTTAATTGGTTTTTTTTTTTTTAGATTTCTTTTTTTTTTTTGTCTTAAAAAACCCTGAATATTGTCTTCCAGTTTTGTTTCAATTTGTTTCTCTTATTGTCGTGGTGATAGAGGCAGCTGTATACAGATTTTTTTTCTTCGTGTTTTTAAATTTATTTTCGTTCTTAAAGATTCGTTCTTGAGCCCCCTCACCCACACCCCCTCTCGACATCCGCCAGTTGAGTACTGTGTCTTTGTACCCTCCCACCCCCTCGCTCAGTGTATTGTAGCTGTGGCCGCCTGCAGCAGCAACTGCAACCCCTTGCCTCCCAGCGCTCTCTGATGTTTGGTTACCACCACTGCCATTACTCTCTTACTACCATGCGTTAGCCCTTTTATGCTGTACTCACTGCTTGCAAGTTGGAAACACCAGACCCTTTATTTTTACATTTTATTTTTATTTTTTGGATTTGCAGTAGTTGTGGACATTTGCAAGAAAGGGCCCCTTTTATCTCTTTCCCTTTAAGTGAATCGTATAGATGGACAGCCCGTGTCCCCCCCCCCCCCCCCCACAATGTGCATATTGCTTTTAGGCTGTGCTGCTGTTCACAAAGTTTCTGTTTAACATTTAAATGAGAGGTGAAGAATAAATAAAGGCTATTGAAAATAAAGTGGGACGTTGAGTATGTACCCATAAGGGGATTATGGGTTTGGTGTTTCCAGTTCTGAATCTTTTTACTTTTGTGGAGGAGGTGCCATAAGACCTTTTTATTTGAAGAAGCCGGGCAGTTGCAGTGCACTGTTTCACCTTTTCTCCTCTCGAGCTACTAGTCTATGACTTTGTTAAGGGTAGGTTTGACGTAGTCAGCACTTTCAGGTCATTTTGTTTGATCATTGTTACTTTTGATGTTGGTGGTGGATGTAGCAGTGTTAGTTTATATTTTTTTGCAGAATTTCAAGCCATGCAAATCATCATTGTTAAGTAATATCCTTGTCTTTTTGTGCAACCAAATCACATTGGTGCTCAGTAGACTGAGACTTAAATGGTAATATGGCATGAAAAAATTGCTACTTCTACGTAGTGTTTTAATTTTGGAGTACTTCTCTTTCAAACAACTGATTTTTTAAATGGATTGGGAAATGTGGACAAGTTTGGGCCCAGTAAGTGATAAAATCTTTTTACCCATGGAAGATCAATAAATAGCAGAGTTCTGGGCCAGGAGATTTGAAAATTGCATTGGATATCTGCACTTGTTTGTTTTATTCTGCTTACGGATGTCTTTGTTTTCAGTTGGCGTTTATACATTACTTTTTCCTCAACAAACTTTCCTTTGTTCCGGACGACTGGATGTGGACCTGCATGGTTATGACTGTTATTATTGCCTTTCTTTTGCCTGATGTTATGTTTTTTGCTTTGAGTCGTTTTATTTTGACCAGTTTGGTATTCTTATTGCTCAATATGCCCTTTGTTACCACATGGATAATTTGGCTGATTGTGTAGGGGGGGGGGTTGGAATATTTTTGTCAATTTTATTTATTTAATATAGGGAAAGTCTTGATAAGGGGGTTGCTTGTGCTCAAAAGATTTTGAATAATCAAATTGAAAGTATGACTTTGTACGGTAATACAAGTGAATAACACATCATCCCATGCCTACTTTGGAGTTGAGATTGTATTGTACTGTGTCGGGTTGTTGTTTCATTTGTTGACTTTGTTTAACCTTGACATGACGAGTGGAGAATGCTGTTGCTGTATACTTGCATGATTTTCATCTGTGAGGTTGTTCTGTGCTAGTCCAGTCGGTCATTTTATTCCTGTGTAGTGGTTATCCTGCGTAGATGCATTCTGTACAGCGGATGCCCCCCTAAGACAGGCGTTTGACTGGGGAAATCTGTGTTGTTTGTGGCACTCTTTTTTGCATTGTGAAAACCGGTTTTTGACAGGATTCAAAGTAAGGTGAATTGCATATGAAAGGGAGAATGTTTTAACTTTCAAGGACAATACCACAAATATAACTTTCGATTGGTAAAGAGTAATGTTTTTATGTGATGTATACTGTTTAAAAAATTTGATTAGTCATTTAGGGGAATAATTGGCCCCGGACTGATGTTATAATAAAAAAATTTTAAAAACTGGCTAAGAGAAATAACTTTATTTGAATTTTGGTTTTATTCTGGAACAGCTTGTCAGTGATCATCTGTACCATGTTGGAGATGAAGGTTTTGCTGGTCATATTTTCCTGTTACCCCATTCTCTGTAACTTGTACAGAAGAACCATTCTGTTGACCTGTTTTCCCTTTGTCTCATAAGCTCTTGTCTAATCTTGTTTCCAGAAGTCTTCATCGGACCTCAGCAAGTTGTTTGAACTGGGGCCTGAGCCTGACCGCCGGCCCTTCCTGGAGCGCGTCCTGGCCTTCCTGGAAGAGACTGGTCAGCCGGTCACCTCACTGCCAGTGATTAGCAAAACACCCCTGGATCTCTACAAGCTCTACTTCAGTGTACGCGAAAAGGGGGGCTTTGAAGAGGTAGGCTTGCCAAATTGTGTTCAAATTGTAAGCTTAGCACCAGCACTTGTGTAGTTGGATGTAGAACTTGGAGCTGATGGGTGGTGGGGAAAAGATGTGTATACTCTAGGTTGTTTTTTTTGCGAGCATCCAAGCAAAGAAATGTACTCCAAACCATGATTGCTCATGCCTGTTTCAGATGTGGGCTTTGAAAGGAAAGGGAATTCATAATGCTCTGTTCTTTCTGTTCGTTATTGGGTTGCCTTTTATTATGTGTGTGGTGAGAAAGGAGGAAAACTTTTCAATGGCCAAGTTCGTAAGCACTTGCCATTGTTAGGAGAGTTTCTCTGTAAGATGCTGTAATATTAAAAATCAGCTAAAAAACTGCGTTTTCATTTGATAAGATTTCAGTGTTACTGTACTTTTTTGGGTAAAACTACCAAAGCTTTGTAAGTAAACATTTCTTTGTTTTTGACCTTTCCTCGAAGAAAAGTGATTTTACCATAACACTTGAAGCATAGATGGAATAATAAAGAATAAGACTGTCAATGGTAAAAATTGTCTTGGTTTGTGTGTGTTGCTCATCACGTTGATCATTTGTCTTTTTGGGATCAGTTATTGGAATTGTGGTGTTGTGAATTAAGTATGGGTGGTTGAATGAAAGGACTGTCCTTTTTTTTGTATCCTTCCCTGTGGTTTCTGCCTTCGTGTCTTACTTTTTCCCCCGCAACACTAAATGACCCATAATTGTGTCAATCTAAAAATTATTTCTCTAACCAAAACTCTTGATTGTTCAGGTTACAAGGGGTAAGAAATGGCGCGAGATCTGCACTGTGGTCAACATCGGCACTTCAGCCAGTGCGGCGTTCACGCTGAAGAAGAACTACATCCGCTACCTGTTCAACTACGAGTGCAAGTTTGACCGGGGCGGCATTAACCCGGCCCCCATCCTAGCCCAGATGGAGGCCCAGCTGGCCCACAAGCGAGAGCAGAAGAACAAGAGGGCCCCCTCTCCAGGTTTGTCACCTTTCCATATATGCATATAATATAGGTGGGTGGTTGGCGGCTGCTCTGGTGTGGGTTGCTCCTTCTTTCCTATAAAAAAATGTATCGTCTCTATATCCCCTCCATTTTTGTGTTTGTTACTTTCTTGTAACATCTCTAATCTTCGGCACTTATATGACCTTATTGTGTTGCAAGTGCAGTGAACCTCTTACTAAAACTAAAAACTAATATATTCATATAATGTAGGGCTGGGTAAAAGTAAGTTTTATTTTTGTTGTGATAGTGGTTGGGTGTGTTTTAATGTGATGAAGGTAATAATGGTCTTTTCCACTATTTGACAACATATCCCTTTTCGTGAAAATCCATTTTGGGTCATTTTCCTTGTCAAATGCTGTAACTGGTGTTTTCCTATAGACATTAGATAAATGTAAACAATGTCTCTTTTGGTAATGGACCTACAGACATAGACTTAAAAAGAAATAAGATACAGAAATTTTTGTTCCTTGTGTTGTCATCATCTTGAAACAGTAAAGTGGAAATAATCAAATGATTAATGTTCCATGCGGACTTGATAAAGTGAATAAATAAAGTGTTTGGTCATAAAAAAAAAGAGAATGGCTCACATGGCAGCTTTAGGATTTTGCCATGTTGAATACTGCAATTGAAAGCAGGGGAGTAGATTCTACTGAGCGCTGAAAGGGATTCCGATGTCTTCAGTACATGTTGTGCTTCTCCACAGCAGGATCCAACTCGAACGATGCATTCCGGCCGCCAAGCACCCCCAACAATCAAATGGATTCCACATTTCCCCCCAACATGCCCCCACCTTACATGCAGACCCCAGACGGCAGTATGGCCAACCCGCACATGGGCGGCGGTAGCATGATGATGCCCCCCAACAACATGATGAGCGGCCCGGGCCACCATGGGAACATGGGTTCAATGATGGCCCCTCCGGGTATGGGGCCGTCCGGCATGATGGGTGGCCCCGGAGGGCCGGGGATGATGCCAGGGCAGCAGCCCATGATGCCCAATAGCGGCAGCGGAGGAGGCATGATGGGAGGGCCTCAGATGATGCCGGGAGGACCCCCGGGCTATGGAGGCCCCATGATGCAGCAGCAGCCACAGCCAGGAGGCCCCCCGCAGCCCCCGCAGGTCAGCAGTGCCAATGGGCCTCTGGGCGCAGGCACCCCGGCCTCGGGCGGCCCTGTGACCTCAGACAGTATCAGCGTGCAGGATCCGTTCTCCGACGAGCCCAGCTTTGGGCAGCAGCAACAGCAGCGTGGCAGCGGCCCCCTGGTGACGCCACCGCCGCAGACCTCGCAGATGTCCTCTGTAGCCACGCCCATGTCCTCAGGCCACCCAGGCATGCAGCAGAGCAGCATGGCCACTTCTACGATGACCAGCACGGCCAATCGCTCTGCCAGCTCTTCGGGGGCGGGTTACGGCGCGGGTGACGCCCAGATGCCGGGCGGTTTCTCGGGCAGCACTAGTGGCCGTCCAGGTGACGGCGGCAGCGCGCCGGCTGGAGGCCAGTACCCACCCTATGGACAACAGTTTGAAAGGCCTGACAGGTGGGTGTTTTGTTTGTCAATGTCTCGAGGGCATTCCTTCTTGGGAAGCCTTTTTACTCCTAAAAATTTGAGAACATTTTGAAAAGTGTAAGAATTCTGTTGAACCCCTCGGGGAACTTAAAAAAAAAAAATTATGGGGTTTCATTTTTGTAGAGCATTCGAGAAGAGCAATGAGTGCGGGTAGTTGGAGGACATCACTGGTAGGTCCTGCATCTTTTTTGTCCCTCTCTACTTTTTGTCTGTCTTTCTTCTTCCTTGCACCATATGATGGTTGTTGGGTTATTGTGTCCACATACTTCTCTTTACTCTTTACTCTTTACTTGAGGAATGAGTCGTGGACCAAGATGGCTAATGTCCGTTTCAGATCTGCCTTTTGAAGAAAAAGGCTTTCCAAAAAATTTTCAATCTTTGTTTTCACTGTACCGGAGAATTGGTTTAGCTTTTAAATTCTCATCACTTTCTTTTCAGTTGGAAGAGAATCTTGCATGTGGTTAAAGGGTTTAACTGGCAGGCCCTACATATCGCATTGTCTAAGCACTTGTATCAATGTGTTTATTTTTAATTTTAACAAAGACATGTCGCCTTTTCCCTTTTTGATTACTATACATATTGATCACTTTGCTGAAATAAAAGCAGTGATAAGAGATAATTTGGATGTGATTACGTACTATTGGAGGCTGTAGTGTTAATTCCAAGGCTCCCGATATCATTTGTCATCAAATAATATCAAAATGAGAAAAGGACTAACATTTGTTGAAGAGGGAATAGATGTCTTGTAGTTGTGTTTTTGCGACTTCTTCTCCGTTCAGGATCATTGGCATTTAGAGGATGAAAAATACTCCTCCAAGTTTTGCTTTGTTTTAACACGTACAAAACTTCCTCTTTGGCAAGAAAGGCCGTGACACTAGTTTTTATGTTGGACATTGTTCCTCTTCTTGCCCTCCAGGTTTGACCAGTCCAGCCCCAGCATGGGCATGCGACCTCCCGGCCCCACCCCCGGCATGGCCCCGAGTCAGCAGCCACCTCAGCAGCCCGGGGAGAATGGGGCTCCCATGTACCCAGGCGCACGATTCCCAGGGCCTCCGGGCCCCATGATGAGGCCTCCGCAAGCCGGGGATGGGCCCAGTCAGTACCCACAGGGGCCGTACCAGGGCCAGGGGCCGTACCCCGGGGGACCAGGACCCCAGTACCCCAACTACCCCCAGACCAGCTCCGGTGCTTACCCTGGACCCCGCCCGCCGTATGGGACGCCACGCAAGCGCTTTCCAGATGAACACGGTTCAGGTACATGTTTGCACTTGTATACGCTGAATTTTTTTTTTGGGCCTTTGTTCTATCCCATTTTTTTTTTAGGACTCTGCTGAGGTCTGTGATGTGTGATTTGTTTTGGAAGAGTAGTTGTTTCTGATTTCAAATATTAAATGTGGGCCTGTCATATTCATTGACATTAGATGTAAACTTCATGTACGAGGTGGACATCTCTGCTTGTATCTAGTCTCTTGTGGAAAAAAAGTTCTAGAAATCTAAAACGTCTTGTAATGAAGGGAGCCCACTATTCAAAACAGACTTTTTATTTATAAAATCAATTTTGGTGGACGTCTCAACTGCTGAGTCGAAGATGTACTTTAGTTTTTACAATCTCTGTGTAGATTGAAAGAGTCTGAAATACATTTACAATTACGAAAGCCGACAAGCATGCATGAAGCATGTCTTAATGCGCACGTTATGTGTGTCGCGCTCAGTGACATGAACGTCAGCTTCCACCCCAAAGTATAGTTGGCTTATTTTAGTCGGAAACTCTTCTCACTTCTCCTCCTTGCTTTGCTCTGTGCGTGCTTTTTGTTTCGTTTCATTGGCATTGTGGTTCTCTTTTTGACAGCTCAAAATCAGTACTCTGATTGGTCAAACTCTGGGATGGCGGGTCACATGACCTATCCGTCGCCTTCCCCCGACAGACAGGCTCCGTCCCCAGACGGTATGGGTGCTTGGCCGTCCATTGCTTACCCTCACCTATTCGTTATATCTTTCCCTGATTATAATCACTGCTCTTTTTTTTTTTCCTCCCCCTTCAAATCTGATCCTTTTGGTTTTATGAGCACTTTTTTTCTTTTTACACTTTCCTGGTGTGGTTTCATTATTATTAACCTTGGGTATTTTTGTACATTTTGATTTACTGTCATCTTTCCCCAATTTTCTTTCAATTTCTTTTTCTGTTTGCAACTATATTTGAATGGGTGTTGGATAGTAGCCCTCTCCTTTCCCTTCTTCACTGGATGAATGGTCCTCATCTCGAGTGTGACATACTAAACTTAGATTCTGACTTGTTATGGAAAAAAACAAAAACAACCCAAACAAATCACGGAAAAACTTCATCCTGTAGCCTTTTGTTGTTGTTTTAGACAGAACAAATGCTTAGATATATGCTTCAGTTACGAATCTATGGAATTTGTACTGGGGATTCTCTAGGTGTTTAAAAATTATTTTTTCTAAGGAATTAAGTTGGACATGACAGTCTTGCAAGCACTGTCAGATGTTAAAGGGACAAGTTGGGGGAGACGAGATTGTTATTTTAGAAGTATGGTTCTTATTTTCTTTTCAAAGTTTGTGGTATGATTCCAAATTTGTTATGGCATGATCAGTAGCAGACTATATTTTTTCTCTCTCGGGTTTTTCCACTCCCCTGTCCCAAGGTAGATGGATTATACATATTCTCAGATTCTGGTCTACTGTAAGAATGAAACATTCGGCTTATTGCTTATCTCTGAGATGAATTATAGTCTTACTGTGACAAGACTTAAACAAAATTTTATGAAAAAATTAATTAAATTCTTAGCCTGAGTATGTGTTTTATTTGACGTCAGACCACAGGAATAATCGGTTGTCCATGTAGATAGTGGTAGAGAGTGCTCTGTGAGGTTTCATGGTGCAGACAGAAGAATGCGAGGACTAGGATTAGATTACGGTGGAAAAGAGATTGTTTTCTGACTTCGGGGCTCATGCTCAGGATGAAGCTTTCTGTGAACTTTGTGAGTGTGTGTGTATGTGTAGTTTTGGTGAAACTGAATGCATCTTACGTTCCAAGTGTGTTTTATGTAACCAGTCCCACCCTTTGTAGTCGTTTGCAGTGTCAAACACATGTATTGAAATGATTTGTGAAGCCTTCTTACATTGAGATACTTTGGCTCTGGAAGAAAAGTATAAATGGCTAAAAGCCCTCCCAAGATTTGGGCTTATCTGTAGTAATAAGCAGTTAAAAAAGAATTTGCCCGCTCTTCAATTGAAGAAAAAATCATTAAGATTTATAAGAGTGTGGCTTTCTCCTGAGACTGGAAATGTTTGTGGTAGTGTACTATTAGACAGCTGTGCTCCATGGCAGGTTTAGTCTTCTGATCTCACGGTTTCTTTGCTGTGGGTATTGGTTAATGTACGGTTTGAAATTTGATTAACCATCTCTTGAATCTGGATGTGAAACATTGTCATAAAACTCCCAGTGGGTTTTGCATGTGTTTTTGTTTTTTTTCTTTCTTTCTTAAGGCACTCTATTGTACAACATTTGTATGTCCCAATTCTTTGTTCCAACTAGATTGCCCTTTTGTCAACTGTGGTGGTATGAATAGGTCTCTAAATTACAAATACTAATCTCAGAACACTGCAGTGTATAGTTTGTGTTGTTGTTGAAAGGTATGACGGCCTCTCTTACCACAAGGCTGGTCATTGGGTATTTTGATCTTGCATGTTTACCCACTGTATCTTAGCCACTGTAACATAACTCTTGTCTGTAATTATACTGGGGTTTGTGCTATGGTTTGCTAGTGGCTTAACTTGAACCTTTGCTTGAGATACCTGGAGAATGGCTCCTATAGCGTTTGAGATGACCTGGATACTTTTAAGGGGCTGAATAGGCTCGATTCCCCCCCCCCCCTGGTTTAATTGCAGTGAGTAAAATCTGCAATGACTTCCTTACGGAAATTACACGCTACTGAAAAATGTCAAGGTCGTTTTAATGATTTGTGAAGAACATTTTAATTTACGGAGCAAATGACATCTTGAAACTAGAACTTTCCTTGCGTATTTCTGTTTGAAACCATAAATATTTTGGAGCTGTACTGGATAGTAATTCGAAACCCTTCATGAATGATGTCATTTCGATTCTGGATGGTCCCAGAGAGAGGAAATTATATAAGGGTGGTTGTGTCAGCCTTATGAATTATTTTCTAGATTTAAAGCCCCCCAACCGAACAAACGAATCAGTATAAAGAAACCCCCTATATTTTAAAGTTGGGAAATAACATTTTAAAATATGCTTGGCATAGGGGTAACATGTACCGTGAATTCTCCCCTACAGATCTCATGGGAAACCAGTGGTCTCCCCTCCAACGTTCCCGCATGCAGCAAGGCACCCCAGGCTATATGCCCCCGGCCCCGCCATCGACCCCGCCCATGGGACCCTACGGCCGCCAGATGGGCCACCGCAACTCTCCCCAGGCCAGGGAGTCCTCACGATACAGCAGCAGCCAGAAGATGCAGGTCTGTAAAGAACGACAAGTGGTGTATTGGAAAACACTGACTGTGACTATATATCAGTGTCTGAACCCTTTGAGCCCTGACCTCCTGAGGCTACTGTGCCCCTCTGCCTGATGAGTGACCTATCTCTAACCTTTATAAGATGATCTGTATCCATTTCCGTATCCCACTCAGGGTAGTCATCTTCTTTACCAGCATGTAATTCAGAAAGATCTTCACAATAATCAGGAGCATCCTGTGTCGTAAATAATATTTTCCGCGTGTGATTTGTACCAGACGTGCCGAGTGAGAGATACGGTCTCGCTCACCGGGTACTGGTGGCTAGCCACACGGGCAGTATTATGTGCCACTGGTCTACCGGTGGCAAGAGCTCAGAGGGTTTAAGGGCTATGCTCTTTCCTTGTTGCTCCCCTAGGTCGTAAGTTCGATTTTGGTTTCAGGAGGTTATTTTTAGATTGGGTTCCCCATCTGTCTGCTGGGATGTTGTGTCCCTTCTCAGTGCTGCCTGATTGTGATGGGCAGAGCTGAAGGAGCTCAGTGCAATGTTTCAGTGCAATTACAAATTTCAGTAGAGAAAGGAATAAAGAAAGATGTGTTTACTAAAGCTTGCTGTGTTGGCCAGTGTGGCAGTGCTTTGCTGCTGTTCTTCTCCAGTCATCTTTTTAAAAAAAACTTAAATCTACTTTCTGTGCACTTTTCCTTGATGAAAAAATAAAAATATAATGATTTTAAGAAATAAAGATGAGTATGATTTTTTTAAAGTATTAAGATTCCCTTAAATCCTCTGTTTTATTGTCACATGAATGAAGTCAACGGTTTTTATTTTCATATTTGGGCATGGGTGGAAAACATGAACTCTGCGTTTGGCGGGTGCTCTGGTGTGGTTTTCTTCATCTTTCCTATGAAACATCTATCGTCCTTATCTCCTCCCCTTCTTTTTTATGTTTGTTACTCTCTTGTAACACCTAATCTTCTGGCGCTCAAATGACCTTATGCAGTTGTGAGCGCTGTAAAACCTCTACTTTAAAAAAAAGGAAAGTAGAATCCTGCGTTTGGATAATTATGAACTACGCTTGGTCAGAAGTGAATGTAGCAATATAAAATCTTCTTACAACCTTTTAGTCGTCTTCCCCGATTCCTGAGGTATGACCCCCATGTTTTTCTCTTTTCTCCCTAGAAGCCAGCTTATGGAGGTCTTACTGCTCCTCTCACCAAAAAGGAACTGATTTTCCCCCCTGACTGTGTGGAAGGAGTCAGTATAGCCACCACAAAGAGAAAACGCATGACTACCAAGGACCTAGGTAAGCATTATGGAAGTTCAGCTTTGGTATATAAATAGTTCACTGCTGGTGTTGCAGGAAAGTCTCATGCCTTCTTGCAACGCAGAATTTGTTGTTGGCTTTGCTGATTTTTTTTTTTCAGCTCATACCATGATGTAGTGAATATAATCATAATAAATGAATGCTTATCACAATAAGACTTTTGTAAGTAAATATTTCTATCCTTCATTCTTCAGTGCTTCAGTGCAGAATATGGGGGGAAAAATATATATAAAAATTAAAGCCTTTTGTGCGTTCGTAACCAGTGATGGCCTAGTGCCCGACTCAACGTGTTTAGGGTTGAGAAAAGTGAAAAGAGAACATTGTTTTTTGTTTATAGCTCACACACATAAATACTCATGCACTCTTTTGTTTAATTTAACTCTTTTTATCCGGGCTACGAGTATACTCGTAACGAGGACCAGTCCGGGCTACGAGTGTTCTCGGAACAACGATACGGTCACGTCAAAGAAGCTAGTTTTGCTTGTAATTACCAAAATACGCAAATACGGCAATGCTAGCTCTGTCTGAATATTTTAATTTTCCAATGAACAGTGTTTTTTTTTGTTTTTGATGGGCGTAGAAGCTTGAAAGATATCTCGAAAACGCACATTCACTACCGACGAAGTACTTTTTGAAGTGGCGCTGGGTTGTGAGGGGAAATTTTATTAATTTGATGAAAGTGACTCTGAAATAAGTGCCGTAAATACCGTTGTGGATGATAAGAAACAGGACTAAGACTCATGTAATAGCGATTCAGATCATGGTGAAGGGGTCAGTACTGGAATTCGTGCTCGATGGGTAGGGCTAGATGTAGATCTATAAAATCCAATGGGACGTCGTGGGTGCGGCAATCAGGGTCAAGTTAGAGGGTGGAATACACCTCAAAATCTACATTGTGCTATTGGTGTATTTCCTAACCACATACATTTACAAAAACTACATTCAATTTCTAACATAACTGCCAAATTTCCTTAAAATCTTAGAGAAAATGTAAGAAATATAGCACTTTGAACTATACGCACTGACTTCCGACTCATACGGCGCGGGGGCCCCAGGACTGGTACAGAGTCCGTGGGGGTACGGCTAGGATAAAAAGAGAGTTAACCGCTCCAGAATTAAGTAAAACTCTCTTTTGTTGAGATAAAGTCAGTAAGAATTTGAAAAAGTGGAGGAAAGGGTCTTAAACACAGGCTAATAATCATGGCCAAAGTTTAGTCTGATCTAATTCTGTTAAGTCTAACGTCTTGTCATAGTCATCACAGTTGTTTTGTTTTTCAGTATCATGGTTTATTTTTTAAATTTTGTTTTTTGTTGTTTTAGTAGGGGTTTTCCTGTACTTGCAACTGCATAAGGTCATATGAGTGTGCTTATTTTTATTTGAGAATGTGAAGGTAGATGGGTGACGGGTGCTCTGGTGTGGTTTACTTCTTCTTTCCTATCAAACATCTATAGTCTCTATCTCCCCTCCTTTTTTTTGTGCTTGTTACTCTCTTGTAACACCTCTAGTCTTTAGCATTTATATGACCTTATTGTGTTGCAAGGGCCGTCGTAAAACACTTACTAAAACAGAAGCTGTGAATACTTTAGTTGGTTTCTGCATTTTGCTTTAATAAATGCAATTGTTATTCCTCAGCCCCATTTGAAGCCTGGCGTCTGATGCTGGCACTCAAGTCGGGTCTGCTGGCGGAGAGCACATGGGCGCTGGACACAATGAACATCATGCTCTACGACGATTCCTCCTTCGGCTACTTCAGCCTGGGCACCCTCCCGGGCCTGCTGGAGGTGCTCACGGAACATTTCCGCCAGTGTCTCATCCAGATGTTTGATGGCTTCCGAGATCTGGAGAAGGGACAGTCTCGCAGGCAGCGCCACCAAGGCAGCAAGCAGCGGCTCAAGTCTTTACCGGCGTCGTCGAAGACGCCGGAAGAGTTTTTGAACGAACTGACTGAAAGTTTCTCTACGGGGGAGGGTGAGACAGAGGCCACGAAAATGTTTCAGATGACGGGGCCCAACTTCACGAAAGTGTCACGCAAAGGGCTGCCCGTGAAGTTTGACAGTTGTCCCACGGATACCACAGTGTTGGAGTCGAAGTACTGGGACATCTACACGCACTTCGACACAAAGCCTGACCACTGGTTATCTGGGTGTGGTGACATCACCGATCACATCCTCACTCATCTGGAGAGTGACAACACTAACACATTCTTGTCAGGGAGGTTCAGGAAGAAGAGGACGTGGGATGCGGTGGGTCGAGAGGAAGAGGAAAGTTGTACCGAGCTGTCCTGCAGCAAAAAGGTGTGCAAAGTTGAAATTGAAGAAAGGGAAGCCAGCAACACAAGTAGCTGTAGTGGGGTGGAGGAGGGTAGTGGTGTGGAGGAGGGTAGTGGGGAGGAGGCCGTGGAGGGGGAAAAGCAAACAGGAGCGAAGCCATCAACAGAAACAAGCAGCAAAGACCAGAAGCCTTGCGTTAAAGTGGACACAGAGGCCAAGCCAGCCAGCAGTGACAATTCCAAGGTGGAAACTATTCATTCCAGTGTGTGCAATGGTGTGGGGAGTAGTATAGAGCAGTCGGGAGAAGGTGTAGTGCAGGTGAAGGCGGAGCCCATGGATGAGGCAGAGTTTGCGGGGGCTTTAAATAGCGAAGATGCATCAAAAAACACTTCGAAATCGAGTTCTGAGGTTCCTATAAACTGTGAGTCCAAAAGCAGCGAGGAGGGGAAGGAGAAGAAAGATGGCCCAGAAGAGATACAGCCTGTGACGGGTTCAGAACTGAAAAATTCTGATAAACTAATAGAAGAGCAGCAGTCAGTGAAAAAGGGATCTGAGAAAATAGTTATTGATGATTCAAATAGCAAGCCTCTAGAAAATGGTGACATCGAAGAGCCGAAACTCTCCCCTATGGTGAATCACGAAGGAGACAGTGCGGCTAATGGCAGCTGGAAAAAGGAGTTTTCCGAGAAGGGAGACTTGAAGGAAGGTGAGAACGACTGCAGCGACAGCTCGCCGCCGGTGCTGAAGGCGGAGTGCCTGGATGGGGAGGAGGAGGTGGCGGGGGAGGACTGCAACACAGAGCCCCTCAACTCCACCATGAACGTGAGCAGTGCCGGGGCCAGCATGGAGGCGGACGCTAGCGCGGTGATGGACACCAGCAGTCGCTCTGAGGCAGAGACCACCGAACTGAAGACGGAGCCCATGGAGGAGGACAAAGCCACACAGGAGGTGGGGGAGGAAGACAGGCTGGCTGACACTCAGGAGCTTGCGGAGGAGAACGAAGAAGAGGAGAAGAAGGGAGAGTCCACTCCTGAGGAGAATGGGCCTGGTGAGAAGAAAGGAGCTGAAGTGGGATGCAGTACTAATAATGATTCCCTCGTTTCTGAAACCGAAGAGTTGTCCGCCAGCATTGTTGCTGACATGTTGAAAGAGGATGAGCAGATTGAAGACGAAGCTTTCCAGAGAGATGACCCACCCCTCACTGTTACGCCGGAGAGTAGGGACGAGCTGGGTCGCCGCTGCGTCTGCATCTCCAACATCATCCGCTCACTGTCTTGTGTTCCTGGTAATGAGATTAAAATCTGCAAGCACCCGGGTATCATGCGTGTGCTGGGCCGTCTGCTGCTGCTGCACCACAGCCACCCACAGAGACCGGAGCTGCGTAAACTGCCCAGCGGGGACGAGGACGATGAAGAGCGGGAGGAACCTCCCCGCGTCTATGACAACGAACACTGGTGGTGGGACTACTTGGACCAACTGCGGGAAAACGTCCTGGTCATTCTGTCCAACATCTGCGGCCATCTGATGCTGGCAAACTTCTCGGAGGAGGTGTGCTTCCCTCTGCTGGAGGGTCTGCTGCACTGGGTTATCTGCCCGGCCTCCGTTGCCCGTGACCCGCTGCCCACGCTCCCACCAGGCTCCTTGCTCTCCCCCCAGCGTCTGGTGCTGGAGGCTCTGTGCAAATTGTGCATCCACGAGGCCAATGTGGACCTGCTGCTGGCCACACCGCCCGTGAAACGTCTGCTGGAGCTCTACAACGTCCTGGTGCACCTGCTCGCCGACCGCAACCAGCCGGTCACACGCGAGTTTTCCATTGTCCTGCTCTCTTTTCTAGTCCCCGGAGACTCTAGCGCGGCCCGGGCCGTGGCCCTGCAACATCCGTGCGTCTCGCTACTGGTGGACTTTCTGGAAACGGCCGAGCAGAACGCCCTGTCCATCGCCAACCAGCAGGGTCTGGAGGTCCTTCAGAGCAACCCGGAGGTGATGGGCACCTCTCTGGACATGCTGCGGCGCACGGCATCCATCTTGCTTCACATGGCCCGCGTGCCAGACAACCGTAAGTTGTTTGTGCCCCAGCAGCCCCGTCTGCTCAACCTGGTCATGTCCCAGATCCTAGACCAGACCGTGTCCAACACTCTGTCGGAAGTTCTGTTTGAGTGCTCGCAGGTCTCCTGATGGCCCGGCTGTCTGCTGCTGGTGTCTTACTCCTGCCCTGGTGCTGCACAGGGGAACAGTCTGGAGAACGGCCATCCCCTGTCGGAGAAGCAACGTCTTGCTTAGAAGTCGGGGAGATGGGTGTTTGAACCCCATGTTCTCATGTTGCCTGGTAGCCAAAAAGAAGAGGTTTTGTTTTAAGAATTAGTTCTACTGGCTTGTGTTGCCGTCTGGGTAAAAACGTGCAATGTTCTGGGGTGGTCGTTGCACACTGGTGATCAACCAACCACTTTAAGTGGAAGAAGGCAGCACAAGCTGCAACTATTTCGCTTGGAAGCCTGAAGGCAGTGCTGAACGTGAGAAAGCTGTGACTCATTTATTAGTGGTCAGGATTTTCTGCAAGTGCCCATTGTGGCCCCTTAGGCTTGCAATATCTTAGCTCCGGAAAAAACGTACCAATGCTCTGAAGAACTAAAAGAGTGAACTTCTCTACGCAGAGCTGACCGAGCAAAGCCTAAACTTCTATCAGAAGTGACACTGCTTGTTATTTGGTCGGTTGACTTTGTACAAAGCTTTTATTGACTGAAGATGCTCTGTAATTTTCTCCCATGCTATGACTTCTGTGCTTAGGTACCTAGATCCTTGTTGAGTATACGAGAAAGAGCAGAAACGATTCTGGCGAATTGTCGTGTTGGATAAAGCCAACTTTGTGCTTTCCTGGACTCATAATTACTGGTTTGCTCAAACATGTGTGCTTTGTTAAAAGATTTTGAATATTTTTTTTTTCTTCATGAGAAATGACTTCAGTCCAAGGCAAAGGAGCTGCTGTGTAATGATGTTGGGCTTCATCTATCTGTCAGTGAATAACTTATTGTTGTAATTTTAACAATTTTTTTTCCACTCTGGGTACCCTGTTGTGCTGAATTACGTTCTTTTTTTAATGGAGATTTTATTCACTGAAGAATTCTAATGAATGACTATGATGTTTCTTCCATGTGTTCTTGATGTATTGCTGAGAAGTGTTGTCAGTTCGTACCCTTGGACGTTTGTGAAAAGTAACACGGAGATTTGTCTTCGATCTGTGGAGCATCTGAGAGATGTTGACAGGATTTTTCTGTTTGTTTTTCGAGTATTTATTGGACAGTACCTGGTTACTTTTGCTTGAAATGGTGCCCTAGATTGAGAAGGGAGACTGACTTGCCTTTTTTGCCACATGCTGAGGATGGGCATTTTGCTAGAAAATATCGAAAATTTTGTCAACAGAAATCTGTGAATGGAGTATTTTTGCATAATGGCTGTTATTTGTTGTGCCGATAACTGATTTTTTTTTTTTCCTGTGTGGAAATGCTGCATTTCTGTGTAATTGAGACTTACAAAAATAAACAAAAAAATTGTTATTGGAAGAAAGGATGGATGTATTATGTATTGCATTGGTGTGTGTTTATTGGGTAGAAAAAAAATTCAGCAAACAAATGGGTTATTGATACATAAATACCTCATTTTCACTGTGGTTTGCAATCATTTGGAGGGGTGGGAGTGTGAGAATTGCCAAGTTCTCCTCTGTCACTTTCCAGTCTCTTCGAAAGTGCAACCCAAATAGCAGACTGGACATCTTTATTCCCCCATCCCACCACCTCCCTGGAGGTTCAGTTGCTATGAAAAGAATTTGCAGAGAGCAGGAGAGAGTAAGAGAAAGAAAAAGAGAGATGAGATGTGATGTTGCTATAATTTTGGAATTCTGTATTCTTCTTGAGCTTATATGACCTGGTCCCGTTTCCCCCAAGTTTGTGAGCAGCTGCTTTCAAACACCACACAAGCTACATCGCAGAGTTGTAAGAGATTCAGAGAATCTGAACCTTACCTTTGGCTCTACTCAAAGTCCTCTTCTTGTAACTTATTTTATTTCTTGTACATTTCATGTAACATAATGTAGACTTCCCTTCCTTTATACACTCAAGGAAAATACTTCTACATAGGCTGAGGAATGTAGAATAATAGAAGTGCTGGAAATGTCTATACTGCCATGTAAGAATCATATCATTTCAACTGCCTCATTTCCTCCCGTCCCCCTTCCCCTGCTTAGATACATGATGTAAATACGTTATATATACAATATGTATATAAATATGATCTAGCATTTCCTTTCTGCGGAAAGTTCATTTAATTCTGATGCCATAGTGATTCAATATAAATACATGTGGAAGATTATAAGAGCAGAGTATAACAAATCTTTTGTGCATAATTGTTCCATTTTTTTTCTCCTTTAACCGTACTGATTGTGGATCTGCAGTGTAAATGAAGGCAGGTTTTATCGGACAGAGATGTGTGTTCCTCACCAGTACATCTGCTGCTGCCGGCACTGATAGGAGGATGAGTTCCTTCCTTGTGTGTGAAATATTTGTGTTTTTTCTTTTTTTTTTTTATAAATAAATTTTTTGCTTTGAGTGTGTAGTGGTCTCTCTGACACAAGAGCTTTGTCTGGTAGAGGAGTTCTGGTACTAGTTACATATCTCTTCATGCTTGTTGATGGAACAGCCAGGGGAGTGTCTTTTGTTGGCCACCAGTCTCTTTTAGATGTGAGAATGTCTTTTGTTTGTTTTTACACGAGAGAATGAATGCCATTGCTGATGTAGTTGTAGTAATACAGCAAGAAATTGCCAGGAATGCAATGCCTGCGAGGAAGATGAGTGGAAGAAAGTGTCCAACTGTGCAATGATGCAGAGAGCAAAGTATCTGCACCTTTCAGTTTTATGTCACGACCAGATTATTTTTATTTAAAGGGAAAATAATACACAATTTCTTTTCATACTTCAAAATGTTTTTTTGTTTTTTAAAATTTCTCCAAAAAGTTTTCTTTGGGGGAAGAAAGAAGACAAAATATTGGCCAAATTTATTTTCCTTTGATTGTTACTGAAGACGGACATGGTGCAGCTTTGCCATAGGATGCGTGCGGATTTGAAACACACACACACACACACACACATGTCTATACATGTTCTGAATATTGTGTCCCATAACACTGCGGCGGGGACCGGTAGAGTGGAGCGTGCCCTGTGGGCTGTGGAAATCATCGTCGTACACTTTTTAATCCAGTAACTCATTCGCTTCTTGTTCTCATTGACAGAGGTCCTGCTGGGTTGTGCTCCGCGCCACCGGCCCCGGCCGGCCTGTGTGGAGTGGTGTCTGTTGTTGTTGTTGTCTAGTGTCGTTATTGTGGCATTGCGTATAAGTTCATGATTTGTATTTTTTATTACTATGGTCAGAAATACTTTCATTTTACTTGTACATATTACAAGAGATTGTCAGTTCATGTGTCAGTCATGTCCACTTCTATTGAATAAACTTTGTGATTCCATACTGGCTGTTGTCAAGTCTTTCCACTGGAGGAATGAGGAGAAAAGCTCCAGTTTTTTTTGAGGGGGAAAAAAGGATTTTCGTCTGCCCCCTTCTGACCTCCCAGTGGGTTGTTGGTGGGTGCTCTGGTGTTGTTTGCTCCTTTTTCTTATCAAACATCAGGGGTCCTTATCTCTCCTCCATTTTTGTATTTGTTACACCCTTGTAATACCTCTAATCTTGGGCACTTGTATGACCTAATTGTGTTGCATCCTGTGCTGTAAAACGAACTAAAACTTTTAAAAAAATAATTTTAATCTGGCCCCTGGGATAGTGCGCTCCTTTAGTATCATGCTGAACTATGGAGCAGATAGCCCTGGTTTGAATCCCAGACTGGGTGTTTCTGAACTCGGATCGTTTTGTGGAGTTTTGAAAAAGGCACCTGCTCTGGTGTGGTTTGCTGATTGCTCCTTTCCTATAAGCATCTGTCCTCCTGATCTCTCCTCTCCTCCTTTTTTATGTTTGTTTCTCTCTTGTAACTCCTCTTATCTTCCACATTTATAGGACATTATTGTATTGCACGTACCGTAAAACTCCACTAAAACTTAACTAAGTGGGTGGTTGGCGGGTGCTCTGGTGTGGTTTGCTGCTTCTTTGTTTCCTATCAAACATCTATCGTCTTCATCTCCCCTCCTTTTTTTGTTTTTGTTACTCTCTTGCAACACCTCTAATCTTCAGCACCTATATGACCTTATTGTGTTGCGAGCGCCGTAAAATCTCTACTAAAAAAACAAGTGGTTTGCTCCTTTGCTACTAACATGTCATCCTGATCCCTCTTCCTTTCGTGTTTGTTACTCTCTTGCAACATCTCTAATCTTTGGGACTTTTATGACCTTATTGTGTTGCAAGTGCCGTAAAACTCTTCCTAAAATTAAATTAAAGTCTCCTAACCCATTTGGCTCAGTCGTATGGGAGACTGACGTTAAATTTGGAGGTCCCCGCCTCTAAAAAAAACCCCTAATACATGTAGTGTTGATAGGGGTGTGAAACCCTACTTACTTTTTACTTCCCAAATACAGGGTGATCCCAAAAAAACTTACAACTTATTTTTGTAAATATTTTCCTCCACACTGAAGTTAAGCGTTTCAAATTTGTACACATCTGGAAGTCAAAAGGAATTTGTCTGATATTCAATTCATTTTAAATAAATCCACAGAATAGTTTGGCTCTACATAGCGTGTAAAAAAATAATTTTCAGCTATGTCCCCATTTTTGTAGCATGACGCACTGGTTTGCATTATGCTTACCGCAAAAAATCCCAACAATTGCGCCATATTGTAAACTACTGTAGTCTAACAGGCCAACAGAAATTTGTAGACGGTTTTTCTCAAGTTTCCTTTGCCAGTTGAGATCGTGGTAAAAATTAGTAAAGAGCAGAGAACTTTTTGTAGTGAACATTTCCTCACCACCAACTCATTTTGTAAGTTTCGCTCAAGGTACGGAAATAACGTTCAAGTGCCCTGAAGGCCTTCTCTGATGTCAGGTGTGGAAATGGTCCGTCAGGTAGGACCTTTAGAGAATCAAAACTAACAATTCCCAGACAAAAGTACCACTTCAGGTCCAACACACCATTCGCACCCCTTTAAACATCACCAGGGTGCAGAATTCAGTAGATGAGCCCCATGAGACGTCCGTCCATAGACAATGTCTGCAGCAATGATTTTCCTACACCTCAACTGTCCACATTCTCAACGCAGATCTTCATCTACGACTTGCCATTTTCCCCAATTACTGTACAACATGGATAGCTCGAATTCATGGGACCAGCCTCGGTAGTTTGAGGGATCTTGGTTTTTAAAAAAGTTTTCGTAGAGGTTTTACAGCGCTGGCAACTGCATAAGGTCATATGAGTGCCAAGGGGTGGACGTCAACTGAGAAGTTCTTACAGGGAATCAGACTTACTCTGCTCACCTTTCATGCCTCAACAGCTGACAAAGTCTGCTTCGACTATCAAGGCACCCCGGAAATAGCGGGTCACAACAGTGTGACAAACACACAAAAGAAGTAGAGGAAAAATTACGATAGTAAGGATTAAGAAAGAAAAAGCAGCAGTTCCCTGTTGCAATTCAGGCACAGTTATATTATGAGCATAACATTGATGAATCAGCCCATTTACATGGTATTGTCCCCCCCCCCCCCCCCCCCCCCTTTGGGAATGGCCCAAAGAGAGGGATCTGTGGTTCGAGGGATATAATCTTACAAAGAAAAAGAAGAAAAAACAAAACAAAAACGGGACGGGCAGCACAGTTCGACAGATGCATGATTTCGAGTCTTTTGTGTTCAACCTATTCGTGTTATATATTGTGAAATCTCGACTTTTTTTTCTCTCCCATTCAGACAATTCTGAAGCGAAAACCTGTCTCCACTGAAGAAAATCTGGCAGTCCCGCAGATTTCGGTCGAAGCAGACTTACTGTAGGCTACATAGCAGCTGTAGGGAAAGCGCAAATTCATTTTAATCTTTTGCCTACCCATTGTGGCCTCAGGAACAGACCAAAACTATACCGTACTCACAATAAATATTATTGCACTTCTGCGTGGAGTGCTCTGCATTCTTTTCACTTAATATGTAGTAGAATCCGACCGAACCCCTAGAAATGGATTCCTATCGTCTGCACACAGAGGAGTTGAAAAAGAATAATATAAAATATATGGTATTAATAGGGTCCAGCTCCAAGAAAGTGATAGCCATTAATTGAATACAGAAGTCGGAAAAGAAAAACACATGATATTTCAAAGGTGCAGCTGTAATGAACAAATATATAAGAAAAAAACCAAATCTAATGATGTATGCAGGGAATGGCCTCTCTCCGTTCAAAGAACATGATAAAAAATAATTTTGATTAAGCAATAAAATAGATTGTAAAGGCTTGAATTTCATACAAAATAAAAATTTTAAGCTGTTGGAAGGCATTAATTAATCTCAAGAATCAGTAGAACATTATTAAAATTTATACTTATACAACCCAGCACACATACAGCGAACCTGTAGGTCTACCAAGTGGAACACGCAGTATAACCAACATATTTTCAAGTCCCGCATTTTTCCTTACTTACACATGTATTTTTTTTTAAGTAAAAAAAAAAAAGCAAAATTAGTATGTAACACAACGAATAGATTTCTTCTTCCTCCTGCTAATTTCGCTATGTGTGTGCTAAACTGTATGTCATTCTTAATAACCATTTAGCTCCTGAGGATTTGCCTAGGAGAGGGGATATAATCTTCTAAACATATCATCATATGTTTTAAAAAATTCATTTACTTTAATTAAATTTTAAAATCTGTACAAAATGATCAGGGGAAAAACGCAGCTGTATTAGGAAAAGAATACTGCTTCCAACGAGCCAGTTTCTGCTGCGGTACAGAGAGGGTAAGTTATGTACATGTTTTTCTCCCATTATAGTTGCGACAATCCAATTTTCATTCCTTACCCATCTATTTTCTCAAATTAAAAAATAACCAACTCCTCCAATGACTTAAACGTACGATATTACGGTAGAACGAGAAATATCTTTCAGCGTGTCTTTGTTTGGTCGAGATCGCTTACCGGGCTAAATCTTTATGTATTTTCAAAGTTTCCTTGGATTTGTCTCAAGTTTCAACTCCATGGCACCTCCCATTTCATCATATAAAAAAAATTCCCAGTGTGCACTTTTTCTGGGTCAATTTCAACCGTACAAAAACCTAGAAAAAGAAGAATGAATCAACTTTGGCTGCATATAGCCTCATTTTCAGTCAATTCTAAAGGATATTCTCCTATACCTCACAGAAATGCATACTACGGCAGTCTTTAGAGTTCAAGAGAGACGTACACTCCCGGAAATTTTTTTTAAACAAATGACTTTAATTCACTTTCATGTAATTGTGCAAGAAGTTCATAGGTACATGGGATGTACTAAGGGTGAATTTGTTGAATTTTTCTGAAAAATGGGTCTCTGTGGCGGCCATCTTGGACTTTCAAACCAGTTTCTTGGTGCAGAAGAATTTCATAGTTAAAATATTGAATTATCAGCCTGAAATTTGGCACACAAGTACATACCTATATGAAGTGGGGATCCATGTGAGGATTTTGACCTATCTTTAAAACTAAAAAAGTGAGCCCAAAGTCATTGGACCCCCCGAGAGTCAGTTGACGAAATTTTGGGGTACATATTACAAAAAATTTGAATACTTCCACGTTACCATTATTTCCCAATTCCCTCACATAGATCCCCAGAATAGATCTTAAAGCGCACGTACGCCAAATTTGAAGCTTCTAACTTCAGTAGTTTTTGAAAACGCCTTGCACCAAAGAGGTCACATGTGTAAAAAAAAGTAGATTTTGAGAGAAACAGAAAAAACAGGGATTTTAAAAAGGACTTTTAGAGCAATTTGCACGTTTCAAACGCCCTTTTAGGTCATTTAGGGTGTTTTTTCAACAGCCTCTTCATTGTGACCCAATAGAACAGATGTCAAAGGATGTTTTTTAGCAAAAAACAAAAGTTGGATAGTTTGAAAAATCTTATCGATATTGCCTGGGATCGCCGACCCGGGTCTCCCCTTAAGCGACTGAAACAGGAACGTTGCGCAACACTGCTCTAGGTGCTAATCGATTGACTCTGTGCAATGCCGCTCTAGCTGTTAAATGGTTAAATGTTTGTTGTTTTTTTCCCATTTCTAAAGTACACTAAACTTCGGCTACAATGAACAAATACCTCGACCTGCATCAAAGATAAATGGATATTCTTTAATAGCAAAGCAAGGCAAATGGACAGGCTTTAAGATGATACCAAAAACTCAATATGCCCCCAAAAATTGACGAGCGCCTGATTTCACCACGTCGAGACACACACATGATATGTATATTATTATACTAGAACACTTGGATAGCTGATAAAATATGTGAGGCAGCGTGGTGAAATCAGGCGTTCATCAAAATAATGAAATTAAAGAAACTGGCGTTTTTCTGCCAGTTCGGCAATT